GGTGTAGGCAAAATCCTCAACTTTATTGAAGCGCGCTTTTGCTTTTGCACAAGGAGTCGTCTAGATTCCCGCCTTTCCCACCCCCCCCCCTGCTGTACCGTACATCCGCTAACAATAAGTGAAAATTTATAGAGGTAACGAAAAATCGGAAAAATACTAGGGTTTCTAAGCATAAAACTCGCTCACCAGTGCTAAAGACGACTTCACAGCCTGTTTGATTTTTGAAAATGTATGGTAGATGATCTGATCTTGACCGAGCACACGAGTTCCTGAAATACAGCTTGGAATTCAGAACACTCCGATGCAACAAATAACAAGGGAAAATGGGCGCAATTCGGTTGAGGGCACAAAATTACTCAACGAAACTAGCGCAGACCACCTTGTACACCTGGGACCGAGGTGGTTCGCTTGCATCATTTCATGGAATCCACTTTCAGTCTCACCAGAAAAAGAACTGTTAGCGAACATAAATTGATAAAATCCGACGAAAGCAACATGCGCTCCTCCCTAAGCCGAACTGCGCCATGCAAATGTAGTGCAAAAGTGCAAATAACCCCATAGATTACCTGAAGCCGTCTCTCTCAAACGATGCGTGGATCAGTGGCCATCGTGAGCCAACCTGAACGGCCTGCTGCATAAGCTGTTCGGTAATATTGATATCTAACGTCGAGCGTGATTCTGTAAACATTGACGAAATTAGTGTTAAGTTGTCAGAAGACCCAGTTATCCAACCACCCTATACAGGCTGATACTACTGCAGTTCAACGGGAGCTGTCAGGGGGAAGCTGAAGTGAGACAACCCGCGCTGTCTACTACCACCGGTTGTTTTATATGTGAACGCGCCCGTTATTAGTGAAACACAGCCGCGGTCGGGCTCAGTCTACGCCTCCTGACCCCGCCCCGTCGGACTGCAACGACGCCAAGGTTAGTTTCTCGTTATATCGCGAAATGAAGAACTTATTGGCGGCCTTGATCAATACCTTACCAGCTATAAGATCCATATTCCTTGTGTTCTCCTTCTTCGTCATGAGAAATCGTAACACCGACCATTTCTCTACTACTGGCTCCCATCCGAAAACTCTTTGATTGAAGTAATCTGCGGATACCGAAAAATTCGATACTAGACGCTCCTCTGATTGTCGATCGATTGACAAATCTGCAACGAGAGCATTTCGTTGGATTATCGTGTTTACAAAACAATTTTCATCTAATGCATATAAATGTGGCCTTTTTGTAGACACTGTAGGAGGGTCTTTGACAGCTTTCAGTCGTCAGAGAGTTGCTGGTCACACTACTAGCGTGCCGACACCTTTTTGAGCACTCATCGCCCAAAGAGGATTATTACATAGCTAGGGGAACCAGGTGCGAATCGAACTGCCAGTTTTCCACAAGAAAATTTCATGAAATCGTTTCATATCAGTTTTTTGTGAGTACTCCCGATTCCGTGATTCTCCATTCCCTCCTGTCTTCCAAAATGAGCAAACGTTGGCCATCTTAGCCCAAGAATCCAAGAACAGCATTGTGGTCAGGACACAAGGAGTCAATAACAGGGCACGTCCCACGTTGGGGAAGCTCCAGCGAGGGGGGTTGGTCGCTGGAAGAAGAGGGGTCGTATTAGGTCATCCCTT